TACCTTGTGGCTAATAGCCACTGATGGACCTCTGCTCCATATGCTTATCTAATTCCCTTTTGAAGCCGTCCATGCTTGTAGCCGCCACCACTTCCTGTGGCAGTGAATTCCATGTGTTAATCACTCTTTCGGTGAAGAAGGACTTCCTTTTATCCGGTCTAACCCGACCACTCCACAATTTCATGGAGAGCCCACGAGTTCTTGTATTGTGAGAAAGGGAGAAAAGTACCTCTTTGTCTACCTGCTCTATTCCACGCATAATCTTATAAACCTCAATCATGTCTCCCCTCAGCCGTCGTCTCTCCAAGCTAAAGAGCCCCAAGCGCTTTAACCTTTCTTCACAGGGAAAGTGTTCCAACCCTTTTATCATTCTAGTTGCCCTTTTCTGCTCTTTTCCCAGTGCTATAATATCCTTTTTGAGGTGTGGTGACCGGAACTGTACACAGTACTCCAAATGAGGTTGCACCATCGATTTATTCATTCATTTATTCACCATTGATTCATTCACTCAAGACACTTATTCCGCTTCTCCTGGAGAAAACGGCTGCTTTGGAAGGTGTAAAGCATGGCTTTATACCCTACCAGGTATAGTAGGGTATCCCTCCCCTTCCTAACCCCCCCCCTCCAAGGATCCACTTTCAAATCTCCAGGTATTCCCAAACCTGGAGTTGGCAACCCTGAAGATAGACTCCACCCCCCCACCCCCGTCAGACTCCTAAACTAGGAGGCGGCACAAGGGGAAAAACAGTGTTATGTAAATACAAAACCTTGTGACATACACAGAACGTTAAAAACGAGGGATTCATCCGTAGTAACTCCCAACTCCCATTTTGTATTTTAAACACCAGAGACAGCAAAGGATAACCAAGGATAAAAGGACGGCCAAGGGTGGGGGGGTGGGGGAGAAAGTGCGATAATGCGTTTGTTCAGAAAAACCGACTCGCCGTTTGTGCATAAAAGACAGCAGACCGAGAGTATGTAATTATTTGGACAGATGGTCTCCTTAAATTAGTTTTCCAGAATAAGAAAAGAGTGGGTCTCGGTCGAACACTAGGAACGGTTTGAGGACGCAAGAAAGTCTCCCGCATAATCCCCCATTCCGAAGAATGAGATCTGTGCGCGAGTGGGGGATGGCCAATTTATCGGGAGGGAAAAATCCTGGCACGGCCTGGTACGAAAGAGCGATAAAACACCCGCAAGCTCTAAGAAAAAGCCGTGTTCCATACTTCCAATGCTGCGCCCCTCTTTTGGATTTCATCTGTGACAGACTAGCAAGGTATCGGCATGCATATCTGTACCTAACGCTCTGCGTTATGGCGTGTGGTATACAACGGTGAAGGCCTCTTTGCTAAGACGGTTTGTTAAAGGGGCTGAGCAATCCCGAAAAAACGGGCTCCTTGCGAAAATATACCTCTGACAACTTCATGAAGATCAGAAACGCCCTCACGAATACAGAAGGCGGCTTTCCCTGTATGCATCTCACCATGCTTAAAAGGTTATGCATGAGCATTATGTAATTCCAGTCCACTGCAGCAGGAACGGGGTCTTGTGACACCTTAAAATCTAACACAATTGATGCCAGCGTGCACAGACTGCCCAAACCTAGATAACCGAGACTGGTCCGATCTTCTCAGATCTCAGA